TGTGTGTGTGTGAGAGAGAGAGAGAGAAAAAGGCGTCTCTATAGATGAGAGAGCTGTGTGTGATATTTATGTGAGTTTTATATCCCCGCTGTTCTCACTGTAAACAAAGGCCTCGTAGACGGCTCCATCTCCAGAGCAGGGAGCTGGTTAGAGAGAGGGGTGGTGGGCGTCGGCGGGGGGGGTTAGGCGGAGAGACTGTTACTCTAGAGAGAAACCGCGGGGAATGATAAAGGTTGTAAATATTTGCCGTTGCCGGGGCCCGGCTCTTGTGCAGAATTAACTGGCCCTCTGCTGGGGTGCTGGAGAAAGGGGAGCGAGAGGGTAGGAGGGGGGGGGTGGGGAACAGCGAGAGATGGGGTCCTGTAGGGAAGAGAGAGCTAGAAGACCAGCTGGGGGAGGAGGATTGGAGGAGGTGGTGGTGGGGTGGGCTCAGCAAATAACACAGCGCTTATAATCCCATGGATGAGTGCCAGAATGTTTTTATGCTTGCTTTAACGCAGATTATATTACACTCTAATTAAACATTCTATTCACATCGGAGGGAACCCTGTGGACACAATTCTCTCCCGAAAAGGCCTGTTTGAGTTTTGAACCCGGGACGGCCCCCGAAAACGAACGCCTAGACGGTCTCCAGCCGTCTGAAAGAGTAGCTCCCACTAGCTTCCTTCATTGTGTTCTCAATATATATAGTCTCTCTGCCTCGTTCTCCCACCATTCGCTCATTCACACCATTGTAGCAGGTCACTCCTGCCTGCGCTCTCTGCCTTTTTACACCCGCGTCCTCCTAAATTTCATTTATGGCTGCCATTAAAATCATTGTTTAAAATCATGTAGGAAATCCAGCACCGCGGACTGAGGATCTATTGTTGCTCATGCCCCCCAGAGTTTTAGTAATAACTGTGACAATGCAGCGACTGCAAGTACTAAAACCTTTTCTTCAGGCGGAGCATTAAGTGCAAGAGTGAGTGGGCTTTTGAGGGCAAACAGAGCAGTTAAGGGATATGAGGGGGGTTGGACATACGGGTGTGATTGGACATTTAGTTTGTTTTGTGCTGCTAACCATTTTAGAAATGTGTAGTTTGTTACGTGTTGGTGTATTGAGATCTGCCCAACTGCACATTTACAAGCGAGCAAAAGCTTTTAAACGTATGTCACCGGACACAGTGTGCCTTTACTTTTGTGAGGTTAGAGGTTTGATGGGAGACAAAACAAGTGCACCTCCCATATGTGCAGCTTTTGTTAAGCAGAACTGCCTTTTGCAGTTGTGTAATCGTTTGTATGATTTCCTGGCAGATATCAATATTTGTCAGTTTCAGTTACTATTAAAATATACATTTGGAGGCTTTTTTTTCCTGCACATGCTTTTTATTATATTTTCACTTCTAGTTCAGCACTCTATTACTCATTTCAAACAAGAGCCGACACATTGTTCTCATCTTACCAAACAAAAAAAGGTGATAAACTCCAGAAATAGATGAAACACTCCATATGTTTGTCATGCACACCCCTCAGATCTGGACAAAGTTAATTCTTTTCTGAAATAAAATACTTTTCTTCCCCTGTTCATTCGTCCCCCACCTGCAGCCTAACAGCAGTGGTCAGGTGGTAGGAAAGGTCCCAGGCCACTTCACCCCGGTCCTGGCTCCCTCCCCACATCACAGTGCCGTGCGACCTGTCTCGCTCTCCATGCCGGACACCAAGCCCATCACCACATCCACAGAAGGTGAGTCTCCGAATGACACGACACTCCCAAAATCAGTCCTCTGTTAAAAGTTTTGTGTCTCTTACATGACAGCTCAGTGTTTGCAGATTTTGTTGTAGGGGCACTGAGGTTCTGAACTTGCAATGTTAATGTATTAAATTTGCTCTATAACATTAAAATACAAAATCTGTAAAATAACCTCAAAAACTCTCATTATAAAAAAAAAGGAAATTAAAATGGGAGTGGGCCCTAAATAGAACCCTGTGCATTTAGTTTTTACAACTGGTTGTTCTTAATCTTGATAAATGACTTTAAATTCATAGTCAACTGTAAGTCACTGTGGTTGAGAATGACAGCTACATGGTGAATTCCTGAAATGCTCATTGTAATGCAAGCATGGTTTTCTGTGTTTTTGTGTTTGTGTGTTACCCAGGCTACTCAGCCCCTGGCACCCCGACGGCTAATCGTTTTGTAGGCCTGAGCCCCAGAGATCCCACCTTTCTCCACCAGCAACAGGTGAGAGCCCACCCTTACCCCATCCGACCCCCCTCCCTCCCGCACTCAGCTCACTCGCAACTCTTATCCTATCATTTTCTTTCAACCCCATGTCCCCCTGCACATCAGATGTGAAGCCCCTGCTCTCCGCAAAAAGCCAGTCACACTCTAAATTTAATTTGTAGGAAGCATTTAACTTTCTCGTTAGTCCTGAGCACCTCCAGATCAGATTAGAGTACTGGTCGGCTGAGGTCAAGCGTAGCACTTACTGTTGGCATAATAAATAGCAACATATCTTCTTTTTCGTCGGACCTCAAAAGAACGGAGGCTTATCGCGGCTAAAGATAGCAGCTCAGACTGATCCTCAAATGTTGCTTGCTTTAAATTCTACCATGCTGCTGTTAATTTTAGTTTCAACAACATCTCGGATTTAGCTTTGATGTTTAAAGGTCCTTAAACAACCTAGAATTTGATATCTCCAATGTGTCCAGAATTTGAATTTGATTATATCTATTGTTAATAACAAAATACACTTTGTTTGTCTTGTAGAATCAAGCACATGTTTGTGATACATGCTTAAAATTGTTTTAGAATGACGCTGCTACTACATTTTCTCTTGAATTATTAGTCTCGATTAAAAACAGTCATATTTACATTTCAATGACTGTATTTTAATTTAATTCCCAGTCTAGACTAGAAAAGGGCATCTGTACCCTGAGGTCACTTTAAACACAGAAATTAAGGTGTCAGGAAATTATTGTGTGGCCACCACTCAGAAGATGGATGGGACGTGTGGGTGTCTTTGAGAGTGTAATGTGCTCAACTGTATATATTTCTTTCGCACATTACTTAAGAAACTCACACACTTGCACACACAGCTTGTTATAAGTACACTCCCTCATTTGCGGTGCACGAGCAGGAATATTTAGCGTTGGCGTCACGCGGTTTCTCCTAGGACAGATGTGGTGACCCTGTGTGTGTGGGTTTTGTGTGCGTGTGAGTGTGTTTTTTGTGCGTCTGCGAGGCGAGGAGTGTTGCGGTGTTGTCGGACGGGAGAGAGTGCCTCTCCCCCCACCCCGTCTTGTTGAGAGAGCTGGTCTGAGGCCAAGGCTTTTCCAACCACAACTAATTGAATGCATCTGCACGCGGCTACGCCATGATCGCTGGGTTTCTGCTCGGCTCCCTTTTTTTCCCCCTTCTATGTTTAGTAAAAAAAATGACAAAGCTGGCCTCTGTATCCTCACTTCTCTTTCTGTGTCTTTCGTTTTTTCTCTCTGCCTTTCATTTTCCTAAAATCAGAGTAGGTGAAACAAAAAAAAGAAAAACCTAAATGTTTGTCGGAAGACGTGGGATGCTTTTATTCGGCGCAGGAGGAGGAGGAGGAGAGGGAGGATTCACTTGGCTGATATCGCACAATTTTCTAGTAGCCCTGCTACTTCTTTCAGCAGGGTACAAAGTTACTACACAAGACAGCAGCAGTCTGAGCGAAGCTGCATGACCCGCTGAATGTTGTCCAACGCTCGGCCCCCAGAGCCTGTGAGGACTTTTTGTTCCAGAATCTGAAGTGTAAATCAGTCCGATACGCGTATAAATATCCTCCTAAGAAATACAGTTAGATAATATGATAAAAAAAAACATTAACTGTTATTTTCATTCGATAAATAGTAATGATTCAAAATTGAATTATCCTAAAACAGAGTTTTGTGATCCTTTTGCTTGCCAAAATGAATTATTTCTGGCCTCGCAGCGGAGAACTCATCATCTTGGATATCTGTGGATTTACTCAGTTTAGAGTTTTGGCGGCTTAACATGTGAAATTACAAATGGGAGATTTGTATGCAACAGTGACACCTCTCTAGAAGGTGATTACATGCTATATACAGATGAATTAATGCCCTTGTCGACTTAAGGAACTCTAAACAGTCTCCACATTGATTCATCACACTTGTGCTTGTCTCAGTTGTTTTTGTTTTCTGTGGTATGATTTAACAGCCTGGGATCTGGGCTCGCCGAGCAGCGCCGACACTGAGCCAAAGTCCCTCAGGACTAAACACTTTCACTGAACGCTCCGTCATTGTCCTCATGTGGTGATGGGATGTTTATTATGTGGGATCCACGAGGCTTTTACTGGCACTTTGAGTTGTTTTGTTTCGGCCGTTTAGCGCCGCCTGGCTGGGTAGGAAAGGGAAACACGTCACACATGCCTGGAGAATTGAGTGAGATTCTCGAATGCTGAGTTTTTTTCTTTTTTAAATGTGGTCAGCATTGGGGCCGTGCCACGGAGGTGGACTGTTCTTTGTCTGTCCGTCTATGTGATGGATGGAGGCCATGACTTGCTCTGCATCTGGCTCTGCTGCTGACAGATCCAACTTTAATTTCTTTTATACAGACAAAAAGCAGAAGTTTCAGAAAGTTATTAAATTTTAAGAAACTGGAATCATTGTTTCTCTAATATCACATGCAGTATGTACTGATCCCCTGGATCCTTTCCACGAAACTTGGTGGAAGGATGCAGTATGGGTCTGGGGAGGAACCCAATAATTTTGGTGTTGATCTGGATCAGGGGGTGTATTCAAAAATATTTTTTCCCCTCCCGTTGCGAATTAGGGCGTCACCATTTTCACAATTTTCCAGGAGAATAATTCATGGATCTTCATAAAGAAAATTCAGTTTTATTTAACTGATTTCTATTAGAATTGAAGGGTTTGTTGGGCCTTGGTGTTAAAATAACTTGAAAGTTGCCTGATGACTCTGTATTAAAACCTACTTTTCCGTAAAGAGCCTATTTTAAGACGTGGCACCACAAAAATAGAAGTCCTTGGACACACACCCACAGTAGGCTTCAGAAAATGAAAAAAAACACACACACACACACACACACACACACACACACAAAACAGCTCCACCACACCTGCTCTACATTTCCCAGGCAGCGAATGTGTGAAAAACCCGTCCATTCATCTCTCGCCTTGGTTAACCCCTCGAGGGAATGCCACCATCTAGCATTCCGCAGGGAAAGATCCGTGATCAGATGTCATTTGGTATTATCTAAGGAAGGATCCTAATCCACAATCTGCCCGCATCTGTTTAGCTAACGTTCCCCTTCTCCCCGCTGCCTTTGCCACTCTGATGTGCCGGTGCCAGCGGACAGATGGCGAGCCCCTTGAGGAGCGGTGGCACCGAGCGTCTGGCCCAACCCGCACATTCTCTACCAGGCTTTTGTCAGGCTGGAGAGTGCGGGAGCAGCACGGGGGGGTTGTTCAATCTCCCAACCTCCGATGATTACAAAACACACTGGATGGAAAAACATTTCTTCTTATTCAGTTTTAATCATCAGGAATTGAACTCATATAATGAAAATATCAAATTGTAACATAATTAAATCACTGCAAAGCTTTTAAGGATTCATTTCTGTTGCAGTTTGTCTCGTTATCCTCCCGTTTCTTGCCACTACTTCACATTTGTTCCATAAAATAGCAGCAGAAACAAAACCACATAACTGAATTTCAATGTGGCAAAAACTCAGAAACCAATCATCATCTCTTGATGTGTTCATCCAGGTGCACGGAGGAAAAAGAAAAGAACACAGTTCTTGACCGCTGCAAATGTCTTTGAATATTCAGCGTGCGCGTATATCTGATTAAATCCCTCTTAAGTGCCTCTGCACAACGTCTGCCAGTGCACGCAGAGTGCTAACAGTGCAGTTTTAGCCCGATACATTACTAAATGAATGTGTTGACCACAGGGCAAGGTTAGGTTGGTATTGGCAGAGATAGCTCTCAGCTGGATTGCCGACACGTGCGCTTGCATAATGCATGCAGAGGAGACGACGTTTTGTGTGTGGCGTGTTTTTCTTTTTTTTTTGGTTGCAGTAATTTGTAATCTGTATGTAAGGTTGGCATGTCTCGAGTGAAGCGGAGGGGAACGGGTTTGTGTGTATGCATTTGTGTGTGTGTGTGTGTGTGTGTGTGTGTGTGCGTGCGTGCGAGAGTGTTTAACTCCATTGTAATTTTGACCCCTAATCAATAAAAACAGTTAGCTAATGAAAAAGCGTCTGCATGTTTGAGGGCATGCTCGCGTGCTCCATCCTGAATCTGAAAGTGCACTTACAGCGGAGCGGCGCTTATCGACAGGGTGCATGCATCCAGCGGATTGCATGGCTTCATTGCAACAAAAGCAGTAACCACTCACATATGAACTACCGATATGATGCCACTCACATTATGTCACTAACTCCGTTTTGTTTTTTTTACTTCCAGGTTAGCCTCTAACTTTGCCTGCATGCTTTTTCTTTCTATGTGTTTCAGCCATAGCTTTGATTGACCTGTTATTTGTAACCAATTAAATAATGAATATGCTGATTCCATTCACTATTTCCATGATTGTCAGTAACCGTTAGGACTCGTTTTGGAGTCATTGTGTTTGTATCTGTGCTGCTTATTGCTTTATAGGCCCTTTTGCATGCATCTGTGTCTGTATAGAGTGTTGAGTTGTAGTGTGATGTGAAGTGGAAGTTGTCTTGGCCCAGTTATCTGACTGCTAGGTTTCAATTGACAGCTGAGGAAGTGTGACTGGAGCGTGACTCAAAACGGCAGGCATTATGGCCCCAGTGCCACTGACGACACTTTGGGGATTGCTTGGCAAAGGTAACCTTTTCATTCTTTCACGCCATCTCTCTGTCTCCATCGCACCACACACACACACACACACGCTTGGCAATGCCATATAATGTCTGTTTTTCCTGATTGTCTTCTTCTCAAATCTCAGAAATTCACATATCTTGCATATAAATTCACATATGTTATTTTCCGGTCGGTAGCTGTGACTGTTATTCCTGCAGTGAAATCTCACAGGTTGACCTTTGGACTCTTGAGATGAGGTCATGCATTTCTATGACAAACATAACTCACATTTCATTTCCTTGTGTCTCTGGTGTTTTCTATTCCCTCCTTTATGGTCCCTCATCTGGTTCTCTCTGTAAAGCTGCTGTCAGACATTGTGCTGAACAGGCATTTTCCAGAGGGGCTGGATGTGAGAATGCAAATGTCCTGAGTCAGTGCCTCCAGACATTCTCCGGAACTTTTCCCACCCTCTTAAAAACGTCCTGGAAATGTCAAGAGTGAGTCAATGCGATAATACAGCAGGAAAATGTCTGGGGAATTCACGCTCTTTCACAAAACTGAAAAAACAAATATTTCAGGATTAAAAAGAGGAGCTATACACGTAGAAGACGCAGACTAAGACGTCAACATTTTCCGGAATCCATCTTCCCAAATACTTTCTAATAGTTCTTACTTTAGAAGATTTTTCTAATTGTTTGGAACCTTAACCGAGCATTGGATCTAGTTAAGTTCTAGATTTTATGATCCCCCAGAATAGGTCTTTGTACTTATAATAAAATACTTTTATGTGATTTAGAGTTTTTTTAATGCACCCTGAAGTAAACAAATTAAGAAAACTAATTTTAGAGCTTGCTTTCAGTCAGATTTGTTATGATTTTATTTCTCTGCTCTGTGCTTCTTCACTGCGACATGACAATCATTGCAAAATGACTGCAGCCTTCCTCATGGATTCAGACCAGACAAACACACAACCCTCATATTTCAAAACACTAAAGTTCGATGAAGCCATTTAGAACAAAATCAAATCATGTAGAGTAAAAGTCATTTCAGGTCAGATTTCCAGCCATTAACTCTCCATGTTGGAACAAGCTTAGCTTTGTTTTATTTATGCTGAGGTCATGCTTTACCCTGCTTAACTTTAAGTTACAGAAAGCCCCCTCCTCTGTTTCATCTCCCCCTGCCTCCATACTGTATCTCTCTGCCTCCTCGGGGGGGAAAAACCTAAACCATTTCACCACGGAGCAAGCTGAGCTAAGCCTTTTCCTGTTACGTCTCCCTTTCCCCCCGTTTCTCCCTGGAAGTGTAGAGCATCTGTGTGTGTGTGCATGCGTGTGAGTGTGTGTACAGCTCATTTTGCACTCACTGGAGTTACTTTTTTTTTTACAAACACACATGCACACAGCAGAGCCCCCTTCAGCAGGCCTCCTAATAGGCCAGTGGAGGTAGCAGAGAAAAATGTCCCCTGCAGCAGCAGCAGCAGCAACTCCAAGTCTCTTATTCCTCTCACACAGCATCGAACGCCTCCACTCTTCTCCATGTGGGTGTACACTAATGAGCACAGATAAAACAGACTCCAACTGAATTTAGTTGATTTTCTTACAAGGATGGAGATGGTAATTTTATTATATTTCTTTTAACCCTCCTCTTCACAAAACCATCAGACGTATAGATGAAATCGCTCCAATTTCTCTTCTTTATCTCGCTTGCCCTTTAAACGCAGCGCTCCGCTATGCCTCTTCAGTGCTATCCCCAAAATTAAAACGCTGCCAGACTCGCATGTTGCCATTGTGCAGGAAATGGGTCAGCAATCCATTAAGATGCCATTAGATAATCTAATTTAGGGAGCTAATCCTTAAACGAAGCACGCTGTATGCCCGGGCTGTGCTTGCGGGGAGTAGAATTAGTGAGGTTTGGGAGCCGGACAGGGTGAGGGAAGGCCGTCTTGAAGGTTACCTGAGGAAACGCAATGGCAGAGGTCAAGATTTAGTCTCGCCGAGGTTGCTTTGAGTGCAAAAACATAAAGTCATAAGAACAGAGGGATTTTAAAGCCTTGACAGGATCAAGTGTTCGACATATTTGAACTACATTACCCAGAATTCCTATAATGTAGCAGTGAAAAGTTTTATTCTTATGTGTTTTCTTAATGCAACTTATTGTAAAAGTACAACTCTTTATATTTGGTGGGTCTAAACCTACTCAGTCATACTAATGCACAAGATGGGATGATTTCCTCTCACACACACAGACACACACACACACATACACACACTTTCATCCAACTCCACCTGAGTGCAGCTTTATGTTATAGGACGCAGATACAGACTGACAGCCATCAATTCTAACAAGATTAAAACCGATCTGGTGGTTTAGCGCTCACAAAGGCCTGCACGTCTTCTTTTGTGGCTGTGTGGTCCCCCTAATGTGAACCATTACCTGAGAGGAGTTTCAAACACTGAGCGGTGGAGGGAGAGAGGGAGGAAAGACAGACAGAAAGAGGGTGAATGGGGAGAAAAAGAGAGAGAAGTTGCAGCACTTGGCCACTCTGTGCACTCTTTGTTCAGCAAGGTAGGAAAAACTTAATCCCCCGTTTCCTGTCCGATGATTTTTGGCAGGGTGAAAGAGCGAGGGAGGGAGGGAAGCAGGAGAGAGAGGATAGCATGAGGACAGGAAAAAACTGATAGAGAGACTCAGCCTTGAGGTTTTTCTCTTTTTTTTTCTTTTTGCACACGGAAATCTAAAACTCTGAATGATTTTTATTTTGAACACATCTTCTCTTCTCTGTCCTTCCTTTCTTTCACTCTTTAGGCCATGAGTTGAATTGAATTTGCACTTCCATTGTTTTCAGTAAAAAGAGCAGTGACTGGTGATTTGTAGAAAACTCAGACTGGTTGATGAGTCGCTTTCAAGGCCGCAGACATTGTTGTTGAAACTCCACAGAATCGAAGTCTGTTTTTTTCCCAACTCTACGAAACAGAATCTTTAGCCTTGTCTGGGTTTTGTTTCTCTTCTTCACGTCATTTATCTTCTCCCTCTGCATCTCTCTCCTCCTCATTTGTCCTCTTCCTCTTTGTCCCTCAGTCATCCCTCTTCCCCACGGCCTTCTTCATCCACCCAACACACTTTTAGGACAGCGTAGAAAGTTTGCCGTCGCTGAAATCGGACGGTAAACGTGTGCGACACAGGTATTCTCAGAGTGAGCAGGGGTGGTGCGAGAGGTGGGAGAGGGTGTCAGATGAGCGCACGCTGGGGACCTGTGGTGATGGAGGGTGGGGGGTGGAACGCAGGGGGTGGGGGCTAATTATCCGACATCTACGTAGCGCGGCACCCCTCGGGAACAACGCGCTGTTTGTTCCCTCGCTTCGCGTTTTCAGTTAGCACCGTTGCTCTCCAGGAACAATCACTGTGTTGTTTTGCCATTAGCGTGAGATGAATAGGGATGGGACAGCTTTGTGTAGGGGACCCCCCCCCTCCACACACACCCCTCCACTTTTTACCCACAACCCACCCTCCTCCACCGCAACCACCACCGTTCACACTCCCCCTCCTTGTTCTTTTTCAATGCTGCCGTCACTGCAAAGACGAGGGCCTGTGCCACGGCCCCTCTCACACGACGTCCTTCACTGGGAATCAAGTGGCATCATCTCGGCTCAGATTAACGAGCGAGTGCTGCTATTCCTTTCTGTCTGAATGACAAAAAAATAGGAAAAAATAATAAAAATAAGACCTTGAATCTTGATGACTGTCAGCGGAGCAGTGATGCCGGTCATTGGCGTTCAGGATAATTAAAAGAGAATTTGATTGCATGCTGCACAAACAAGATTATTGGCATATGACTAATCTCTCCGTCTGTGTCTTTTCTTTTTTTTTCTCTCTCTCTCTACAGTCCTGGTACCTGGGCGAGCTTAGTTCCATTCCAAGTGTCGAACGGGACTCCGATTCTGCCAACAAATGTCCACCAGAACTACAGCATAAACATCATTGGTGAGCCCCTGGTCCCCGCTGAGACAGGGAACTGAAACACACACAAACACACACATACACGAGAGGCCGGATGACACCCCCGTGGGCGAAAGGTCGGGTTGGGGGGTGTCGGTGGTGCAGAGCTCACACTACAGGTGTCTGCAGCCCATGGATGAAACCAGCAAAGCAGCACGAGCTGCACAACCCCGATCTCACCCCTTCTGTGCCCCCACATCCCCCTCGACTCCCGTCCCTCCCCCCCGTGATGGACCCTGTCCGTGAAGTGAAGACGAGGGTTGGTTCAGAGGAAAAAGGAAGAAAAAAAAAAAGAGAAAGACCCGGCCCAGCCCATCCCACACCCAGCACCCACCAGTCAGTTGTTGTGTTTGCAGAACTTTTCAGTTCATTCAAATACTGTGATGTATAGATGCCTTAATGTTTCATTGCATGACACTCTAGTCTCTTAGCGGCAATTCCCACTATTTTTTCATGTCGGGGAAAGGATGTAAAATCTTGATAGACACACACACACACAAACACACACACACACGAGTGAAGAGGTCTGCGTAAAAACAACCTCTGCCTGGTGGATGGCTCCGAGACTCTAAGCTCTCTTAACTCCGACCTCTTGAAAAGAGGCGTTCCCATGTCAAACGATTCACTGTGTACACCATAGGAACAAAAAAAATTGTGAATTCAGAGTGTTTTTCTTCTTCCGTTTTGAGTTCAGTTTACTGTGATATGACTCTTTGTTCAGAAAATGTGTTGACTTTGTTTATTCTGTTATTGCTACTTACTCCAAGAATTAATGTAAAAGAAAAAAAACACTTACAGTAAGAGTTGAGAACTCTTCATGCGGTTTTCAAAAAACACTAAATGTTCAGCTTGAGATTGGACCCCCTAAAGAATTTGCAACTCCTTTACAAAAGGACTTAAAAGAAAAGACGGAGAGTTAAGAAAATCTCGAATAGAGGCAAGTGCAATTTAATTTTTGAAGGGAAGCTATCAGTCTGTCAGCCCTAAGACTCTAAAGGAAGGGGGATACATATTAAATGGTTTTATGGGAAAAAAAAAATGTTTTAGAAAACATTGGAATTTGATTTCAGTCACGTAACCGTCTCCTCACGTGAGAAAAACATCGAGCATGAAAGACATGTGAAGGCAAGCACTAAGCTACCTGTGCAGCGCTGATGAGCAAAACCAGCACTTCTTCCTCTTGAGCCCCTCCCGTCATTATGGGGAGTTGTTTTTTTTTCTAATTTTAATTTATTTTTAGAGGGAAAAAAATGAACATAAATAATGAGACACACATAGTGTGTAAAAATGGCATTTCTTTTTTTTTTTAAATGTTCATGATAAGATCAAGAGCATATGCATTTGGCCATCAGCTTCTAAAGCTTATGTTTACAGAATATATAGGAAATATGGAATGCAAAGTTTGAATCAATGGAGATACACGAGGCTTATGTGTAAAGCTACAGTTTGTACAAGGTTAACTCTGCAAGTGGAAGAAGTTTGAAACTGAAATTATTGACTCCAGGTGGTGGCAGATCCCTGAAATCTAGAATTGTGCACGGCATGTTCGCGCGGCCATTGCCTCTCCAAGTCCAGACGTATTTATACCAGGAAAAAAGAAATTCTCAAATACTCTTAATTTGCACGATGACATATAGTCCACATTACGTGCCTTGCCTTTGAATATAGAGACATCACTACACTTGTTTTTGCTGCATTTATCATTATAGGAAAAAAAATTAACATTTTTATGATAAGAATTGTTTTGTACTCTGAATGAAATCGTTGATTTTTAACTTCATGTACTACTCTATCTCACAGTTACATTGCATATCAAGGCTGTGTATAGTTGCCGTTTTAAAGTTTGTAATCAACCAGCGGTTTTTGTTTTTTCCTCAGTATTTTGGTGGTTTTTCAAATAACCTGTCATCTTTTTTTTTTTGTTTTCTTTTTCTTTCTAAATTCTCATTTTTGTTCATCTTCCAGTTACTATTGTGGAGGGTGGATGTCAGAATTATGAAAATTATGCAATACCAAGTTTTGCCTATGTAGGTATAGTGCTTATAGATGCGTCAATTATTAGAGGCTAGTTTGGAGATAGACAATATTGTAATGCATTTATTTTGTTGATATCGTTGTTTGTCGTTGTTATTGTTGATGATGTTGTTGTTGTTGTGGGTGTTTTCCTTTTTTATTGACCAAAGTGGGGACTGCTTTCTATGCAGTGTATGACAAGGTCTTTTGTTAATTTTTAAATCTCCTTTCTTAAGCTTACAGGCCTACCGAGTGACAGTAAGACATGTTCCAGTGTATTTTGAATTTGGAAGTTTTAGAGGGAGGGGCGGTATTTTTCTAGAAGTACTTATAAAAAAAAATGCACCCTTGGTCTTTCTACGGCTGCAAAGTCACTGATTGGTCTACTGTGACTCTTACTTTCAACTTTCCACTTGGGGTGCTAGCGCGTGACCTTGAAGGAACTTAATTTTTTCCCACAGGAGAGACGGCTTGACTTGAGTATGACAATCATTTTTAAAAAGAAATCCTTTCGCCTAGAATCCCGACCCCTCCAAACCCCTCATGTAGATCCCCCTGGAGCTGCAGCCGAGGATGCATCGCCGCTGCGCGCTCTCATCGAAACGCTACTATTCTATAGACGTCACCGAATGCAATTCCCAAGTAGATGCCTTAAACACATCAGTGAAGTGGCCTGTAACCTGCGCAACAATCACACACCGACTAATGCTCTCGAGACCTGTCCAAATCAGCTCCAGACAGGCTCAAGCAAGCCTTTAGAAAGTATTTTATAACTAGTAGATTTGTATAAATGTATATATGATATGCACATATGTCAATTCCTGAGATACTTCCCCCATAGAGAATGCTAAAGTCAATATTAGAAGCGTGGTGTTTTCCTACTTCATGTCCAGTGGTCCAGCAGAGGCTTAAATAGAATCCACTAGAGAAAAAAATAGCACTTAAATAGCACATAGGCAATCGTCTTCTTCCCCCGTATGATGTTTTGACCCTATAGTCTCAAACGAAATCTCTCAGGCGTATAACAGGGCATTATTTATATCAATCATAATCGAACATCAGCGCCTCCGATGCTGCTACGACACCTTTTGCACTCTTTCCCCCACAATCGTGAAAGACGTGTTTCCCTCGTTGAGACGACACTAGCACGGAAACGTTCCGACGCCAGCAGAGGGCCAAGAAGCAGATTTTCTTTTTGTTGTTGTTTTTTTGGGAAAAAAATAATCCTCAAGTCAAGCTCAATCTCTCCGTCTTCACCCAGATTTCTTATCCAGGAATTTTTTTTTTGAAAAAAGTCACCCCGTTCTATGTGCACTGTTCTGTCTATTTCATTTCATTTTGTTCTTTTTTTGCTCTTAAAATAAAAACTAGAAGTGCTTTGCAGCCTTTGGCCATTGGAAACCCCACTGAAGTGCATTGTCCCCAAGTGTGTTTGTGAATCGGTGTGAGTGTGAGAGAGATAGAAAATGTGTCAGGGTCACTGTGCTGTTGGTGTTTATTTGAATAGGAGACTGTATATAAAGGTAAATATCCCGATTGCGTCAATAGCAGTTGTCCGTGGGGTTGAACTCTGCTTTGGCAGCTTGAGAGTTCGTGTGCATGTGTGCGTGAGAGTTTGTGATCGAGTGTTTCTGACACTACACAATGAGAGAAGATGAGGGTCTTTCTATTGAGAAAAAAAAAGCCTGCGGTAGGACAGGAGTTTGTACACTGTAAACTTTGTCGAGAGATTTTCTCTGAAGCCCTTATTTGTTAATCTTCAATTCTGGGGAAAAAATGAGTCAGTTCCATTTTAGGAAAAAATTATTTGGGTTTTTGTTTATTTGTTGTGGAAGCTGGATTTGAGTTAGAACTCTCCAGGTTTCCCCGATTAGTAGAATCTAAAATGTTTTCATCAGTTGTTGTATGTAACGTCGAAAAATAAAAGCGAGGGGGCTCCATAAATAGAAAAACAACAACAATGAAGGTTTTTTATTATTAATATTATTATTTCTGAACTTGGTTAGTGCTTAGATATTTCCATTTGGGAAACACTTCATGAATATTTTTAATTGTTGTTCTTTCATTAGTGTGGCCATAGCGAGTGTGATGTGATTTATCTCTTTTATTTTTATGTTTTATTTTTTGGAAATGGGTGTGAATTTCTTGTCCAACAAGGTCGTGATGTGAGCGTGTTTCTTGTAGCAGCTGGGAGGTGATGTCACTTATCCAGGATATAATAAAAATGTAAAAAAAAAAAGGCCCCAGATTGCACCTGACCTTAAAACGAGAAGCAGGGTAGAATCTGCAGTGACAAACGTCCTCAATGGATCTATCAGATATAGTCTTTTTTTTAAAATTGTCTTTACAGAGGAAATGTTTCAAGACGATTGGTGCTAGATCTCGCCATATTTCTGAGTCAACCAGCCAGTGTTGAGCTGTGTGCTTTTGTTCTTCTTGGACTTAATCTGTAAAATCATCACGGCATCGCTCATTTTGCACTTTCCACATGCTAACCGATGCCTGATGCGATGTAGGGAGACCCTCGGTGTACACTACAAAACAAACATTTCTTTACAGGTGCTCCAGACATGGTACCTTCCAGCTGATAGTGTTTTCAGGCTGTGAACACAACCTGCGGAAAAGCTCTTGAAACCGTAATGAAATCTGAATCTGTGTTCCACCCATCAGCAGATTCTGACGCTCACATGTACATTTTAAAAAGTATTATGTCATTGATCACCACGATCACTGAGAAGCAGGATGACTTTATGCAAGGAGAACTTGTGGCACTCATGCAATATGTGTGATTTTTCCTTTTTTTTACCTGATCACACATCCTGTAGGGACCGAACGTCTATATATA